TGCAGCCACTATGGAAAACAGTGTGGAGATTCCTCAAAAGACTAGGAATATTGGCTATTTATATGTCTTCTTGGAGAAATGTTTGTTTAGGTCTTTTGCCCATTTTTGGATTGGGTTGTTTGTATTTTTTGATATTGAGTTGTATGAGCTGTTTGTATATTCTGAAAATTAAGCCCTTGTCAGTTGCATCATTTGCAAATATTGTCTCCCAGTTCATAGGTTGTCTTTTTGTTTTGTTTACAGTTTCCTTTGCTGTGTAAAAAGCATAAGTTTATTTAGGTCCTATTTGCTTATTTTTGCTTTTATTTCTATTGCCTGGGAAGACTACCCTAGGAGAACATTGCTAAGATTTATGTCAGAAAAGTTTTGCCTATGTTTTCTTCTAGGAGGTTTATAGTGTCTTGTCTTATGTTTAAATCTTAAGCCAGTTTGAATTTGTGTGTGTGTGTGTGTGTGTGTGTGTGTGTGTGTGTGTGTGTGTGTATGATGTGAGGGACTGTTCTAACTTCATTGATTTACATGTGACTGTCCAGCTTTCCCAACACCATTTGCTGAAGAGACTGCCTTTTATCCATTCTTGCCTCCTTTGTTGAAGATTAATTGACCATAGAAATGTGAATTTATTTCTAGGCTCTCTGTTCTTTTCCATTGATCCACGTAGCTGTTTTTGTGCCAATATTGTGCTGCTTTGATTACTGTAGCTCTGTAGCATTGTCTGAAGTTTGGGAGGGTTATTCCTCCAGCCTCACTCTTTTTCTTCAGTATTGCCTAGGTAATTCTGAGTCTTTTGTGATTCCATATAAATTTGAGGGTTATTTGTTCTAGTTTTGTGGAAAACATCCTGGGTAATTTGACAGGGACTGCATTAATCTGTGTGCTTTGGGTAGTATGGTCATTTTAACAATATTAATTCTTTCAATCCAAGAGCATGGGATATCTTCATTTCTTTAAATCATCTTTAATTTCCTTTATCAATACTTTGTAGTTCTCTACATATAAGTCTTTCACATCCTTGGTCGGGTTTACTCCTATGTATTTTTTCTTTTTTGGATGCAGTTTTAAAAGGGATTGTTTTTTCACTTTCATTTTCTGGTATTTCATTGTTAGTGTAAAGAAATGCAACTGATTTTTGTATATTAATCTTGTAGCCTACTACCTTGCCAAATTCTTTTATCAGTCCAGTAACTTTTGTGTGGATCCTTTAGAGTTTTCTATAGTATCTGTCATCTGCACATAATGACAATTAGCTCTTCTCTTCCAATTTATATACCTTTTATTTCTTTTTCTTGTCTGACTGCTATGGCTAGTACTTCCAGTACTATGTTGAATAGAAGCGGTGAGAGTGGGCATCCTTGTCTTGTTACAGATTTTAGTGAGGAGGCTTTAAACTTTTCACCGTTGAGTATTATGCTGACTGTGGATTTGTCATAAATAGCTTTTATTATGTTGAGATAGTTCCCTCTATACCCACTTCAGTTAGAATTTTTATCACAATTGGTGTCGAGTTTTATCAAGTACTTTTTCTGCATCTATTGAGATGGTCATGTGATTTTTGTGTTTTCTTTTGTGGTATAGCATTGACTGATTTGTGTATATTGAACCATCCTTGTGTTCCTGGGATGAATCCAACTTCTTCATTATGTATTATCTTTTTAATGTTTTGTTGGATTCTGTTTGCTAATATTTTGTTGAGAATTTGGGGGCCTATTTTTTTTTTAAAAGTATATATATTATAAATATATATTGGGAGTACAAATTTGCTAGATCCCATGCCAAGGTTTGAAAGGAAATCATTCATGTGAGGAACTCTCAATCTTAAGCTTCATAAGCTTCTTGGAAAATCTCCTAGAGAGTAAGCAGAGAGTCATTTTGGCTCCAAAGTTTGTTATCCTTTGCATGTAGTACACCTCTAAATGTACTGCACAGAGAGATCATTGCCATATTTGTGTAATAGAACACAATTTCTATTCCAAACCCAACAAGTGAAATGTTGGATATTACATGGGAGAGAAAAGCATGTGTTATCAAAATCATATGACAAACAAGCAGGAGAGAGTTGACTTACATGTGTGTGCCATTCTTTCATCAGGTGGCTGATAGAATCTGCTCGGTGGCTGATTATCACCAACAAACCAGATAAGAGCTTAAAGGACTTAAAAAAGTTTCACAAAGAAATGGAATAAAGAATGCTGAAGCTATGCTGAACATGGAGGTGAGCAGGAGAACAAAGGTGGCTACTGGGTTGGAGGGAAGTCATAAGCTGACAACTGTCTCCTTATTGAGACAGGCAAACTGCTTTTCTAACAAGGGCAGCTAGATGAGAATGCAGGCTCCATTACTTCATCTTTCATGTCTATCTCATAGAAAGGAAGTGTTGCCCACTGTGCAGCTTCCTTCCTTTCACTTCCTGATCTGAATCTATAATCTATGTACTCTTGTGGATGCCCTGTCTCCATCGGTGGCCTTGTTTTCAAAATACCATTATTGCTATCTAATTTCCTGGAGTGTCCCTTAACTCCTTACATCTTCCTTCATATCGCATGCTCACCTGTGACTGCATGTGTAATAT